CCTGAGTTTGAAGTTTGTCTTTCAGTTGTTGGTAGTCGTTTCGAATATCTGCAACAGAACTTAAGTCTCTGCTAACTTCAGGATATGTTGGTTGTTCTTTTACAGGAACAATTGTTATACCATCTTCGTCTTCGTATGGTTTCCCCACTTCAACATCTCTGTCTTTGACATTGACAACAACACTTTGACTGTTTGTTTGAGTTGGTGAATTTAACTTCACATCTGCCACCGCCATTAAACCTTTTGAAACACTTACGCTTCTATTTTTCGGAAATGACATTTTACTTAGAATAAAAAGATGGACGTATTCGGATATCTTATTGAATTGAAGCAGAACAAAGTTTATACTCACAAACAATACAAATACATTGACAGAATAGTTCTTTACACAAACAATGGAAAATGTTATAGAATAGCAATATTTGCTGAACCAAAATATTTTCATAAAGCAAAGAAAGTTGGTATAACTGAAATGGTGAAAGTTCTTGAAGCAGACAAAAATATAACTTCAAAACTTACAGATATTACTAAAGGAAAGTTTATAATACAATATTATGTCAAAACTGGCGTACTGTCAATATTTGACGGAGAGAAGTCAGTTCAAGAACAACTTACTGACCTGCTGCCAAAATCTGCTCGATGGAAGCTGTCGTTATGCCAATCTGAGGAGCCCCAGCAGGTTTCATCGAACGAATCTTCAAAAGAGCATCTTCCGTGAAAAGTGCTATTGGTTTTGTAAACTTCTTTGCTCTCAATTCATCTGGACCGTCTCTGTCACCAGTATATTGTATTTGTACAGTACCAACAGTTGAAATACCACCCATAAAGTCTTCTGAGTCAGCAAATGGAATGCCAAGCCAAAAGTTTGAACGGTCTCCATTTGTATATTGAGTTTTTTGACCTCCTGTATGAGTCCATACTTTCACATATGGCATAATAGAACTTTGCATTTCAGGGTTAATGGTTGTTGTGAAGTTGTTGTTAAAGTTCATAGCATCTAATGTCAAGTTGTATGACCTCATATCCTCAACTGTAGAATATTCTTCTCTTGGATAATATTTGCCATCTATGTTTATATGATATTTAATACCAGGGTTGTAGAAACAAGAATAGTCATTTATAGTTCGTCTGAACAGTACAAACATAGTATCTGCATGTTTCATTGCAGTTGTTAAAGCAATATCTGTTCTTGCACCTGCGGTCCAGACTTTGGTTTCCAACTTCACCTGCAAAGTCTTTGACAGATATTTGGTGTATAGGGAACATAAGTGGAACTGCAATATATTTGGCAGCTAAAGCATTTGAAATATCTGGGTCCAACATATAGACTGCAAGTCTGCTTTCTATTCTCTTGCATTCAAACTTTCGCATGTGAACTTAACTGGGTCCCAAGCAGTTCCAGCAGCATTGAAATAATAGTTTACTTCAGTGTTGAAGTTTGAGAAACCAAAGTCTAAGTCAACTTTGTCTTTGCAAAATTCAAGAACTTGGCTCCACCAGTCAGCTACAGTAATGTGAATGGGTCTTGTGTTGGTGCAATGACTAAGTTATTTTTGCTTGGAGTAAGTTCGATAGAAATTTTTCCTGCCCAGTTTGGCAAGTATCTTAAAAACCTGAAGATGAGGAAAGATGACAAAGGAACTCTAAGTTTCAGTTTTACTTTGGTTACTGCTGCTGCAGTTTGTCCAGAAAGGTTAACATAAACTCCTGGAACGTTAGGGTCAAGTCTTCTTATTTTCTCAATAGTTGCATACTGGTCTGTTTGTTCTCTAGCTTGTGGTTGTACTGAGTTTCTCAAAGCGAACCATTCATAGTTTGCCCATGTTACTGTTTGAACTAAGTCAGAGTTAGAATATATCTTATATCCCATGAAAACTTCTGGAGCATATTGGTATCCGACATAGAAAATTCCATTGCAACCTTTCTTGTCAGACAACTTGGCAGAAGGTTTTATTTCAATGTCTTGTTCCACGTATAAGAATGAGTTGTCAATAGAAATAATATGAAACCTGTCGCAAGCAATATCTACTGTTGTTGAAGAACCTTCTCCAAACTCACCTACGTTTCCATAAGAAACAGCAGTTGTATATTCGTAAGTTCCAGGAACTATTTCTGACCTTCTAATGGCATTGTCGCATTCGTTATACCATTCGGAAACATTTCCGTTCATGGCATCCAAAACTGTTGGCGTTATATTCTGAGCGGCGTACATTTCATATGGGTAAAAATATAGAATAGTTGGATTTATATGTCATAATAGAACCCACTCGGACCAAGCTTTACTTTCTTCCTGACTGAGTTTTTAACTCTTCTTTTTCCTTCATTGCCACTACTTTCACTAGATGAAGTTACTTCTTCACTACTTTCACTTTGTTCTACTCTTCTCTTCTTCTTTGGTGTCGCTTTTGGTAACTTGCCCTCTGCTTCAAGTTGTTGCATCTTTGCCTCATGTTCACCTAGTATGTTGTAAATTTCCCATGTCCTTTTTGCCTTTGGGCTCTGGTCGCCCATCTCAGGTAACCTATATCCTAGAAAGATTTTGTCATAGTTTGTATTTGAGTCTTCGCTTATTGTTTGCATGACTCTTTCCTGAGTTTCCGGTTCAAGCTCTTCAAACAGAGCTTGTCCATATGGAATAAGCTCGTTTCCAAATATATGTTTTTGTAGCCATTCTGGTTTTCTTTCCATGTAACCAATAATATCTTTTGTGAATGGGAAAGCTTTTACCCAACGTTTCAGTCTTGCGTCATTTATTTCTGTAGTTGGTTTTATTTTGTCAAGGAACATGTTTTTCAATACTAACATTTCATTTGGTACTGTCCATTTGAGTTTTCTTAAATATTCATCCCTTCTCAGTTCATTGTCTGCAAAGTAAGTTTTTATGACATTTTGCAAACTTTCGTTTGCAAGGTCATGTACAATAGGTTCTCTTCCTTCTCTCTCCCTAACTTTCTTTCTAAACTCTTCACCAAATATACCATCTCTATGGTTCTGTGTAGTTCTTTGAGATAAATGTTCTAGAACGTCAGGTGTTATATTTCCATCAGCCATGTTCATTTCATACTGGTCCAAAATATCTGCATCTTTCATATCTTTCAATGGCATTAAAGCCGCGCTGAAAATACCCGCTATATCTGGTTCACCATTCACTTCCATTGCGTCTACAACTTCTTGGAATTGAGGTTGTAAGTTTATGAACCACCTATCCGGATTAGCTTTATGACCCCATCTCATTGTAGTTCCATAGTCTGCAGAAACAAAAGTAGGTTTGTTTCCATATTGGTTAGGTTCTGAATGAACTTTAAACAATGTTTCATTTCTATATGTTTTGTTGAAATTTAACCTTTTATTTTCACCGAGTTCAGCCAAAGATTGAACGTTATATGGTCGTAAGTAAAAAGGATTATTGTATTTGCGTACATTTTCTTTCAGTACTTCCATTCTATGCTGAATATTTTCATCTGATGTTGGAGTCTTTTGTATGTCGGTGAACATTTTTCGATATTCTTCTACTATGTCAGCCGAATTTTTCTTAGACTCTTGGAAAGATTCCATATTCACCTCATACTCTTGTTGAGGGTCAAGATTTTTCGGCTGTTCCAAATCTTCATCTAGTTCTGTGAAGTTAGTTTCCAAAGGAGGGACTTGTTCGTTTCCTTCAGGCTCTTCTAGCTGTTGTTGCTGAACTATTTCTTCCATGTCTGGTTGTATCTGAACTTCTTCCTGTTGAGTTTCTTGTACCTCATCTGCTGGCATTTCATATATTCCGAGACCGTTTTTAAAAAGTTCCCTATCTAAGTCATCCGGACTCATAAACCTTTCTTCTTTCGTTCCGTCTCTATTTTTTACGCGTTTCATGAAGAGAGTTGAATTATCATTTAGCTCTGACATCAAATATCTCGGAGTAAATTCATTCATGTCATTTGGATGATATGCTATTAAATCATATCCCTTAACGAGCTTGTATTTTCCAGGGTTGAGATTATATCCGATTTTATGCTGAACCATAAAGCTAAATAGGTTCGGGTCAGTATTTCCTTCCTTGAACTTTCTAATAGCTTCTTTATATCTGTCACTAAAGTCAAGAGTATCTGGGTAACCATAATCTTCCTTAAGCATTTTTAAGAATTCTTGGTTTCCTTTTTCTCTACTTCTTTTATGTCCTTGCTCTGTTTGTGGTTGTTGTTGTGCAGGGTTTTGAACTGTTGGTTGCTGTGCTGGTTGTGGAGGTGGTTGTTGTGCTGGTTTTGGTTGTGGTGCTGGATTTTGAACTGTTGGTTGCTGTGCTGGATTTTGAACTGTTGGTTTTGGTTGTTGTGGTGCTGGATTTTGAACTGTTGGTTGTTGTGTTGGTTTTGGTGCATGCCTGTGTCTGTGTCCATGTGACGATGTAAATGTTTTAGGTAGTCCTGGTGCAGGTGCTTCTCTTGGAGGGTTTGGTGGTATATAAGTTCCACCAGCTGGCACATATGTTCCATCTGCAGCATAATGTCCTACCTGACTTTTCGTTTTTAAGAAAGCATTTACTAGGTCTGTTTTGGTCTGTTGTAACTCTTTTTCTTGACTTTCCACAACAGTTGCTCTAACGGCGTCATAGGCACTTTGAACTGCCTGTCTCGTTGCTGCATCTGTTATTTTCGTCATATTTTGTGCTACTTCTCTTAACTCTTTGTCGAAACCTTCAGACTTCAGTTTCTTTCCAGATGAGAAGTCGTTCACTAGTTTCACCTTACTATGAAGAGCTTCGAAGGCATTCTTAAAGTCAGCATTCATTAAAGCTTCATTTGAACTGTCTTCATCCGCTTGTATTTTTGTCCTTATTGACCCTATAAGTTGGGCTGCTTTAGCATTGGCTTGGGCATCTAACCAGTCATTATTAGCTTTTATAATATCTGCGCTTTTCATTGCCTTTTGCATGGCTGCGTCGTTATTTTTACTTTCTTGTGCTAAGTTTTCATACTGTACGGTTTGGTTTTGCAACTGTAAAAGTTTTTCTGCCTTTACATTTGCTTCAACTTCTTTTTTATACTCATCGCTATCCATATATGTCTTCAGGGCTTTTTGTTTTATCTCTTCATCTTTCAGTACTTTATATTGAGTAGTATGGTTTTTCAAATTTATAACATCTTGTTCCATTTTTGCTACTTCTGCTGCTTTTTCTGACACTTTTTTCGCATATTCCTCTGTACTTAGTTCTTTCAGTTGTTCTTCTTTCTTCTTTTTCTCTACGTTTAACTCATTGAGTTTCTTTGTGTGTCTGTCATATTCTAGTTTCTTTTCGTTTTCACTTATTTGTTTCTGTATGTCTATGTTTGACTTTTTGACATCTGTTATTTGATTTTTGAGTGAACTCAAATTCATTTGACTTTGAGGGTTATAAGCTGTTCCGTCTGCAGCTCCACCATAGCCTGCCATTTTCGCTAAAAGTGCCGCTCTTAAACCTCCACTCTGTGCACCAATAACTCGGTTTAAAAGCATAGGGTTGCTTGACATTTGTTGCAACATAGTGGGGTCATTCATCATTTGTTGTTGCAACTGTTGTTGTGGTGTCAGTTTTACTATTGGATGTTTCAATGCTCCCTTCCTCTTACGTATATTCTTACGTAGCTTACGTGGCATTTTAAGTGAAGTTAAAAAGCGGTTTTTGACAGATGTTTATATGACACTTTTTGTTCAGCACAAAAAACTACTCGGTCAAAGTGTTGTCAGTTTTGTAAAATAACCGTCTTATCTCATTCTATAAGGGGAAAAAGGCTTCTCAAAGTATACTTCCTTGGAACGCCTGTAACTTTTCCTGTAGCGACGATAGACCCTTACTTGTCCGGACAAAGTTATACTATTTTGAGTGCTCTACAAAAAAGTCAACGGCGACGACTCTCAAAAACCGTTGTGTAAAAAGTTTTACCGTTGGACAAAAAAGTATATATAGAAAACAAAAAACGTTTATAGTTCATTCAATATTTGAGATAAACCGTTTTTCCAACGGTAACTATTAAATAAAATAAAAAATAGAGGGGTTACCGTTGACGAAAACGTTTTTATTCAATATTCATTTTCCACAAACTTCTGGTCAGTTCATTTTTGTCTAATGCAAGACCACAGTAGTAGCATGACTGACAATTCTTTACAAAAGCTCTTTAAAGGTCAAACACTTATATCCTCATACTTTACTAGTATGTCCAAAGAGGTTACACAGGTTTCAGTCCAATCAGACTCCAATCAGACACAAATTGAAGCTCAAATTCAACCAAAAAGAAACTGCAGAAGTCGAACAAACATCAGAGCAACCTTCAGAACAAACAATAACACAACAAACTACAGAAGCTCAAGTTGTTTCAGTCCAATCAGACTCAAATCAGACACCAAACATACGCAAAGTTCAACTAAAAACTTACACTCCTACAGAACCAGAAGGTGTCTTCTCATTCTCAACAACAGAAGCAAGATATAGAAGACTCATTGCAGCTTATCCAAACAATTTGTCCTTAACAGACAACAATGACTATGATAGATATTTCAAAAGTATAATAAAACCAGTCGAAACATTAGAAAACAAAGTTCAAAACCCGACAGTAATGGTTGACTTTTTCTTGTCGAATTTGCCTTATGTTTCAACTATGATATCTCTTCAAGCAATTGACGAGTTCATTATTTGCTGTGAACCAAACTTAAGAGAACAGCTATATGAAACACTCAACGACTTTCGTCCTTATCCTTTAACTTACAATTGGAAAGAAGATGAAAACAAACGCGGTTCTTTCTCCTGGAATCTTTCCATTGTTGCTCCAGCTGGTGTAGCTGCACATCCATTCGAAATATATCCAAAATTGCATTACGAAAACAATATGCATATTATAACAACAGCCGCTTTAGAGATTCCTGAACGGATACCAGATGGAGAAGAAGTTTCAATAATATCTGTTCAAGCAAACCGAGTTGCAATGCCACTTACAGTATGCAAATTCACTCACTCAAGCAGACAATTCTATCAAAATCTTGAGTTCGTTTTTACTGGCACAGCCAAAATGCTTCTCAAAAAACCAGAACAACCACAAACACATCTTATCTGGTTATTGTGAAGATGAAGACAATTCGGACGAAGAAAAGAGGAGGAGGAAACAAGCGAAGACTCAGACGATATCCAGTTCATTCCATCCGAAAAAACATTAAAGCAAACATTTCAGAAAAAAATTTTAATTTTAACAAAAACTTTCTGGCTAGAGGCGCAACGCGCCTGGAAGCCCCACTCACCTGACCTAATGTGCATGATAAATAATACAAAAATACGCAACGATGACACATTTTTCATATTTCAAAAATAAGGCATTTTGTGTTATTAAATTGATGTTTTGAAAAACCTCATTATGATTGATATACTACCTTAATTAAGAATTAGTGTCTCAATAAAAGAAAGATCCATATGAATTACTAAAAAAACTCAGGAAATTTTCCAACTTATTTTAAATTTATTCGAAATTAAGTTGATTTCTATAACATTGTTTTGACTGTTATGTCAAAACTATAAAAAGTAGTCTTATAAGTTTTCTTTTGGCATTCGTATGTATGTTTTGGAAAAATTAAATTGAAGAGATTTAAATTGTACCTATCTCTTTCTTGCAATACATATTTTTTTCAGAGATAAGATGTAGGTGTTGCAGATGTAGGCAGGACGATAAGATTTTTTGGAAAATTTTCATGTTTATCATCAGTTAGGACAATTATCTTTTTATTCATATTTTTCATTTATTTAAACAATCCTCTTTCTTTACATGATTAACTAACCTTATCCAAAATCATCGGTGTAAAAATTCAATGTAGTGTCAAAAAGATAAGGTTCTCAACTCATTTTGAATTAAAACCTTGCATTTTTTTAGGTTTTTAAAGAGGATATACCAAAAACAGACGAACATTTTGATCGTTAACATATCAAATTAGATATCCAAATAATAATTCAATAATGTTTTGAATTCCATAAAATTAAAAGAATAACTGAATAAAAAGTCCATTATGACAACATAATTCAAGTATGAACACATCTTATTCATGTTAAATAAGTATTACTTCTACATTTATTTAATTTTTATTCAATACCCTTAAGGGTGGCTTCCGACCAAATTGTCACTTTTTAGCCCAAGTGAGAAAATTTCGTAATTTATAACCAAGTTTTTTAAAATCTATATTTAATAAAGATTCTATTTTTCTTATTAAATTTCAAAAATGAGGGGGTTCGGAATCGTCCACAAATTGCCGAAAGGGTAGGGTTGTTAAAAATATCAAAAATTAGCGTTTTGAAGACACCATGGTGTCTTATAATTTTCCCTTCCTTATTGGCGTGTAGAAATAAATGCGCCAATAGAAGTAGTAGGATAGGAAGGGTTGTGTGACTTTTTTTGTTACATCTATATATAGACGATGCATTAAAATATATTTATTTATAAACACATTTTAAAAAATTAACATTAATTTTAAAATAATTTATTTTTTATCTTTTATAAAAGAAGCTATATATAGATGATGTCAGATATTCCGCGATTAATTAAACATTGTTTAAATCCTGAATGGATTAAACTTCAATTTAAAAATGAAGATTGTGAATTATTAAATGAATATGAAAGCCAAAATAAGCTAATGAGGTATAAATATAATGATAAAGAATATTTAATTTCATGGAATCAATGGAGTCATAATCAAAGACCTCATAAACGAGAAGAAGAAATTGAAAATAATGAAATGGAAATCATTGATGACATTAAAGAGGATGGAATTCCTAAATTTTGTAGAAAAACCTTTAGAACTAAGTTAGGAGCATATAAACGTAGAGTATTAAATCCTGAATATCTTAAACATATATTTAAAAAGGAAGACTGTGAATTATTAAACGTTAATGAATATGAAAATGCTAAATCAAAACTGAGATATAAATATATTGGAAGTGATGAAAGGTGTAAAGATAAAGATAAAGTTTATTCAGTTTCATATAATAACTGGCACACGTTAGGGATAAGAAAACATTTAGGAGATTATGGGAAATGTTCTGAATTCTTTAAATCTAGTATGTATGAGAGAGTAAAAGAAATTAGAAATAATTATTTTCATGAATAAAAGATTCACTACCATAATGAAATAAAAAAATAAAAAAATAAAAAAAAATTTAAAAAATAAACTTTAAAAATTATGTCTTACATTTTTGAATAATTTATTTTTAATTCGTATGAAATGAGCGTCAAAACTAACGACGTTAAAAAATTAGGATTCACAAACGAGGAAATAAAGGATATATTAGATGAGTTGTGTTATGAAGTTAGTAAATATTATTTAAGAAATTGTCAAAAATTTGCCGAGTTATTAAATGATTTAGATTATGATGGAAAAATGAATAAAGATGATGTTATAAATTTCTTATATCCCACATCTGAAGAAGAAAAACCTAAAGAACCTGATGTTTTCCCTGAATATTATGAAGAACGGATTAAAGATGATGAATACGATGAAATTGAAAGACTGGAAAAAATAAGAGATGAAATAGATGAAAAAATTAAGGAATTAAGAGAAGTTGAAAAATATAATGAAAATGAAGTAGAGGGTTTAATGAATATCCCAGCTTCAGAATCAGAAGTTCAGAAATCTCATGAAGAAAGATATAAAAATTATGTCTCAGAATCAACACAAAATTTATTAGATGGTGAAATAGACGAAACACTTTCAGAAGAAGGTACTAAATTTATTCGTAAACATAAGTTACAATTTATTGATAATGAAGAATACTCCTGTATCCTACTTTCACCACCTTTAGATTCTGAGAAATTCAAAAAAGCTCTTAAAAACGTGACATATGCAACTAATACGATTAAGAAAGAAGATCATGATATTTACACAAATTATTATTTAAATAAATGCACAGGTGTTGATAAAGTTTTTGATTTATTAGATAAAATATCAAAAGAAACCATTGGAACCTATAAAATTTTGTGTGATTGTGGTTTCATTGTTGAAGATACCAATAATGTTTCATATGAAAGAACAGCACCGAAGGAAGATGAAGTGGAAAGGTCTATACCATTCGTTATTAAGAATATAAAAGATATGAAAACTTATAAACATTATATTTATTCATTTATTTCAGAAAAAATGGAAGCAACCCATAAAACATCTTCTCATCATTTTATAGCTATTCATACATTCCTTTTCAAAGTTGTGAAATTAAATAAGACAGGAATTAGATTTAATGTATCAGGGTACGCATTCTTGAGTAAATTAAAATGTATTCGTCACGTCGCAGATGATAAAAATTTATGTGTTCTTAATTCATTTTATGGGCTTTAAAAAATAAACTTTATTTTTATTTATTTTTTAATTTTTTATTCTTACATAAATGAACAAAAACGGAACAGCTAAAATGAATGATAATCAAATTAGAGCAGAAGGTAGAAGGTTATTTAAAACGCTTCTATAACATTCCTGATGGTGTTAATCCTAAAACTCGTAGAAGCTATTTAAATGAAGCAATAGATGCATATGAAGGGTTTGACATTTCATCAGAAAGTGAGAGATTAGCGAGAATGTTAAATGTTAATATTGATTTCTATTATTGTGATCCTCAACCAGAAGACGTGGACATAAATAAGGTAGACTTTCCATTAGTGGATTCAATAATGATAGATCCAGAATTTGAAACAATAAATATTTTATTAACACAGAGTCCAAATGGAAAACTTCACGCTGACAGAATAACAGACGTTGAAGCACTCACCGGCTATAGAGTTTGTCCATATTGTAAAGAAGAAGTTTATTCTATCCGTGATGATCCAGAAAGGAAAAACCAAAGAAGATTTTTAAAGCATTGTGAGAAATGTAAAGAAAATAATGGAAGATTAATTCAAGACGTTCAATTGCAAAAGACCCAGCAACCATATGCACCACATATTACAAAACAGAAGATATATCAGTGGTTATTAGCTCACAATTTGCAGAAATATTATAAACCGACAAGATATTATATTACTTTTGACTTCGAAACATTAGAGACTAAAGAAGAATTACAACTTTCTGAGTGTGCAACTTTGAACGCTTACTTAAAACCATTCATGGTATCATCAACAGTTAAATTAAACGATAAAACATATACGAGGAATTTTTGCTTAACTTCGAGTGATTCTTTTATTTCTGATTGGATTGAGTTTTTATTTTCAACCTGTTCATTAGTTGCTAAATCAAATATTGAACAATATGAAGAATTAATGAAGTCGCAAACGGACTCTTTGAGTCCTGAAGGTCTTTCAGACCAAACGGCGGGGACTTTGTCTCATACATTAAATGAAAAACAGAAGGAAGCATTTAAAGAACTTCTAGATGAGGAATTCAATAAAGTGAATATCATAGGTTTTAATTCGGGAAAGTTTGATTTAAATTTAATTCTTCGTGATTTAAACACTGCAAAATGGAAAATAAAATCAATGCTGGGTTCATCTTCACAATTTAAGCAAATCATTGTAAAGAAAACAAACGTTCCATATGAATTGAGATTTATTGACATCAGAAATTATATAGCGGGTGGGACATTAGACCAATTCACTCAAGATTTCGGAAACAATAAATCACGTGTTAAATCCTTTTCCCTTATCAATTCATCACATGGGAAAATTACGAAGAAGAATTATATAAAGAGGAACCATTCACGAAAGATTCATTTTATTCAGCATTAACTCAAGAAACTATATCAGATAGTGATTATCAAATATATCTCAATGATGCTAAAAATTTTAAGAATAGATTAGAATATTTTATTCATTATTGCAATAAAGATGTTGAAATTATGATTGACCCAATTGATAAAATTATTGAAGAAACATTTGTTTATAAAATTGACATGCTTCATAATCTTTCTTTATCATCGAATGCTTCAATGATTCGTTACGCGTTAGCATATAAGAATTCAATCCTAACGAAACATATCCAGAAGAAGAAAATGTGGAATCAAGTTTTGAATTAACGAAAAAGTATTGGAAATATAAAATTGAATCATATAAGAAACAAGATGAAAAAGCAGAAAGAGATACTAAAAATAATGTTTCAATGGATGATTTTCAATACTATCACGATTTAATCCTTTCATCTAAATGCAAAATGTGTGGTAAAGCGTTTACATATGCAAATAAACCAACATTGGATAGAATCGATAATGAAAAACCACATACTAAAGAAAATTGTCAGTTAATGTGTTGTTATTGCAATGTCGTAAAATCAAATAAAGATGAAGATGTTCAACGTTTAAGAATCAATTTAAGAAATTACGCATTAAAAAATAATTTACCAATGACTTTAGATTCGGTTGAAGCTTATCACATCCTCCGTAATGGAATTACTGGTGGTTTATCAAATGTTCAACATAGAGTAAATCTTAAAGGAATCACGCACATTAATAAACTTGCATATAATCCAGAAACTAAAACTGTATCAAATGAGGACACCACCAACATTATGACTCATTTCGTTGGTGTTGATTTTAATTCATTATATCCTTCATCATTTTCATCTAATCCTCATGATTTCATTCAATATACTGACCATAAATTGTATATGCCGGGAAGATTGAATGGTGTTATCATTTGTGATACAGCAACAAAGAAAGCAAAAGCACTGGGAATAATTAAGAAGAAAAATACTTTATTCGTTGCTGAAGTAAAGGGTCACATTGATGAAAAATACATTAATGATTACATAAACTTTTTACCGATAATAAGAAACTTAGATATTATCACAGATGAAAAAACAATTGGCAGTTTTATGTATAATTACATGAAATCAAACAATCTACCGGTTGACCAGAAACAGAGGAAATTAACTCAGTTAGCATCAACACACAACCAATATCAACCATTTTCTTCTTATTATCTTTGGTATCTAATAGACAGATTTCATTTTATCATTGATGACATTCAATCAATTTTAACATTTACTAAAAACACTTGTTTTAATGAATTTGCGAACAAATTTATGAACGAAAGACAAAAGGCTGAATTAGAAGGAAATAAAGGAAAAAGTTTATTTTGCAAAATTTCACTTAATGGATCATATGGTTACGATGCAATGAATACACAAAATTACGCAAAGACTAAAATATAGATCCGTATTTTTCCCAAGTGAGCGGGGTATCTCCAATCCCAGCCCTATCGTCCTCCCAGTGTCAGTTTTCAATATAAAATCCAAATTTTTTTTGAAAATAAAAATTTCGAGAAATTTTTCTGATTTTTTTTCTTTGATTTCAATAATTCAAAATAAATTTGGGAGTAAAAAGACACTATTTAATGAAATTCATATGAGTGAATGTGGATAAATACTCTCAAAACATACAATTTATCTATTTTTTCTTTATTATCAACTAATTAGTGATAATTTTTTTGAATCAGATTTTTTTTCATTAAAAACATAATATATAACACAACAATGATGCACACATACGTATCTACACATCAAATATAAAGCTTGTTTTGGTCTGGGCATCCCAACCCAAAATTCTTAAAAATTGAATAAAATTGAATACTTGGGGCTGGGATGCCCATCCCAAAACCGAATTGAATTTTTTGAATTAAAGAATATATTTATGTATTTATAATATACATGTGATGTCTATAAAAAATACTAAATTCTAAAAAAAATTCAATTTATTCAAAACGTATACTAAGTGATCACTTCATTAGTAGGATCAGCAATCCTACTAAATGGTGAGAACGCCACTAACTAAAAAAGGAGTCCTTGGAGCTCTTGATCTCTTGTCATTAGAGTTCATAATGAGGCATGGCATCTACTGATTAGAGATCAGAGCAATCCTACCTTACCTTCAGGAGCTACAAAGCTCCTAATCGTTACGAGAGGGAGTCTTGGAGCTCCTGAAGCTCATCAGCAGAGGCTATTTACCATTTGGGCCTCTTCTGATGAAAGATGCGAAACACGTCTACGAACCAGGAGCTTCAAAGCTTCTAATCCTTACTAAAGGGAGCTTTGGAGCTCCTGAGTCTCCATCAACAAAGTCCCAGATGGTAAATGTCCTTTGCTGATGAAAGATGCGAAACACAATCTCCGAACCAGGAGCTCCAAAGCTCCTAATCCTTACGAAAGGGAGCTTTGGAGCTCCTGAAACTCCTTTTACTATAAAATATGACAGTTTTCTTCTGAGGTTCTCATCAAATCTAAGACTTCAGAAGAAAGCTGTCCTATCAATGTATACTTACACTCTCATGGACTACAAGTGTACAATTTTAAAGCAGAGATTATCCGAGGCCCCTCATCAAATGAGGGACCTCGGATAATCTCTACCTTAAGTAGTCAAATAACTTTTCTCACTATTTAGGAACAAAAGAACAAGAGTTGGAGTACTTTAAGGCAAGATTCTTCCGAAATCTCTCATCGAATGAGAGACTTCGGAAGGACCTTGCCAAATCCTTGAACGCCAATATCCTTGGAACTGAGCTAGAACCAGGGAGAAGTAGCATACTATAGAGCACGATGGTAATCTCGGAAATACTTATATCGCCCCAAGCACAATATTTAAGAAGTCTAACTCATATATACAAGAAGTCAGGCTGAATAGATATTGTGCATATGGTTTGCAGAACTCTCATGATATTTAAAATTCATGTTATCCCAAAAAAGGTGACACTTTGGGTGTATCGTCCATCCCAGGGATGCAAAAATCACATCACCTTGGATCTATAACTAAAATAATGAATGCACAGAGGGCACGCGTTGCATGTATGTCAAATAAGTTTAAAAACATAAGAGAAATAGGTGAGGATACATATCAAGTGATGCTTAAAGATAGATTTTATAGATGTGATACATGTTTACAAGAGGCATTCTTCACTTTAGATAATGCTAAATACTGGTATTTGGTTTTCATTTATGATTTTATGTATAAATGCATGAATCTTAATCGTTTTCATTTCATTGAAGGTGATACTGATTCATCTTATTGGGCAATCGCTGGCGACCCAAATCTTCCTAACACTCAAGCATTTCAAGCAATTGTTACCGATAAACAATTTTATGATAAAAACATTTTCAAATTCGCACCATTTGATTTCTTCTGTTTTGATGAGAAATTTAAACCTAAATTAAAGAATAAAGCTGAAGAAAAAGCACATGAGAAGAAGTTATTGGGTTTAGCAATTGAGAAACAAGGTGATAACATGGTTGCTTTATGTCCTAAGTGTTATACATCATTCAACGGTTCAATTGATGGGGGTGATTTTAAAAAGATTGCACAAAAAATGAAGGGTGTTAGTTTAAGACAAAATAAGCAATTAACACCTAAAAAATATTTGGATATAATAAATGATAAAGTGATATTTGATGGTCAGAATATTAATTTACAACTTAAAAACGGGTCAATGACTCGCTTAACAATCGGTAAGACTGCATTAACAGGAGCACACACTAAGGCTGTATGTTGTGAAAATGGATGTTGTATGCCATTTATTTAATACAATTTAAAATTTTATTTTTAATGAAATGCCACAGAAGAGACAAAAGGAACCAAATCGATTTATACCAAATGGTTTTAACTTTCAGATTCCAAATAATCAACCACAACGAATTTTTTAAATCCCATCACAGCATCAACAGCAACAACAACCGCCACCATTTGATACTGTTTTAGAAGAAGGAACCGTTAATGATGGGATTCAATATATAAATAATGGTTTTGATACTATGATTCAAAGAGGTGGGCACCCTTAAAACATTGATTTTATTTTTATATAAATGGATAACGTAGATTTAAAAATTTTAATTGCTGATTTAGTATTTAATCAAAATTTTCTTAGTTATTATGAATTAAAATCATATCTCCAAAAATATAATAATAATATAACGGGTGATGATATGGAATATTATTATCCATATTATAAAAATGAAATTTTGAAATATCATAATAAAATAATTTCTGAAATTAAAGACAAAATTAAAAATAATGAATATACAAAGGGAAAAACTAAATCACAACTTAAACAATTGAAAGATTTCAAAAATAAAGTATTAACAGAAGAAGATATTGATGAATTATATAAATTATATAATCCTGAGCCGCAAAAGCCAAAGGAACAAAAACAAAAGGTGCAAAACGCCCAGGTTCTTCAGACCATAAATGAAGCACAAGCTTTAATTTATGATTCATTAGTTAAACCATATTCAGCCCGACTTTTAAATGAAGATCAACTTTTGGAATTCATCCTTCAACATAAACTCGAAGCGGGAAAGTATATCAAACCTTTATATACAGCATATTTAAAACAAATGAATAGAATACATCCAGAATTAATGAAGGAAGGAATGAATTTCAAAATCAAAGCAGATAAAATTAAACCACTTGCAATACCAAAACCTCCAACGACAGTACCTCCTCCTTCAGTTAATCCTTCATCATTCACTTTATTATATCCATTTCAAACATTAAAGAAGCAAAAAGATTTTAAAAAGGATTTCAAAATATTAAATAAACCAATTGACCCAAAAATTCAACCGTTAAAGGAAAAATTTAGTCGCCCTTCATTTGCACCATATCCATATTCATACGAAATCGATCATCTGGAATATTCAAAAGGAAACGTTACTTATTTATTTGCCATTAACATTAACACTAGATATTTATATTGCATTCCGGTGAAAGGGAAAACAGAACAGGAAACAAGAAGAGCTATACAATACTTACTAGATCATGAAAGAGTAGATAATATCAGGGGTGATGGTGATAAAGGATTTCAGGCAACTATGACTCATTATTTCCCACAAATTAATTTTTTCTTTTCATCCTCTCTATATACGTTTCATAATAAAATAGTTGATGCGGTAATGAGAACTCTTAGAGATGCGTTAGGGGTTAACGGTCAGATATACTGGGATGGAAATCATGACTCCATCATACAACAGTTAGTATATTATTACAATAATACATGGCATAGAACAATAAACATGAAACCAGTGGAAATGAAAAATGATATTTCAAAAGAATGGGAATATATTAGAAAGCAAATGGAAAGGTTGAATGATGTTAAACGTGAACAAATTAATTCGGGGCTCATGAATTTTAAACAAGGGGATAAAGTTTTGATTCATCTCGATTATGGAAAAACTGATAAATCAATGACAAAAAGAAGACGAAGATTTGACACAATAGCTGAATTTGTTAGATATATTAACGGCAATGCATTAGTTGAAGTTGACAATAAATTAATAGAAATTCCGATTTATTTTATTACTCCATTATATTTAAATAATATTTAATTTTTTTATTTCGTAAGAAATGAGTGACAACAAAGCAGCCAAGAGTCCTGATTTAATTAAGATTCAGAGTCCAGACGATGAATATAAAAAGAAACTAAACAGAATTAAATCAAAAATATGCTATTACAAAAAGAAGCCACAATGCGGTGGGGTTGATGCCCATAAAACTAATGGAACCGAAAACGATAAAGAGAAGAAGGAAATAATCGAAAAATTAGAAACTTACCGTTCAATCCTTAAACTGAGTGAAGCAAAAATAAAAGAATTTAATAGAATAAATAAATTGATTGGAAGAGATGAATTTAATAAAGATGAATTTTTAAACTCTATCCAAATTTAATTTTTATTCCTCTTCGACAACGTCTCGAATAACTGAAGGTGTTACCATGTTACCATGTGCTACCAGGTTATTTAACTTCTCTGAAAAAATGAGACAACATGACATTTAGACAACAACACAGGAGGAAGGCACTTATGAATTATTTTTGAATAACTGAAGGTGTTACCATGTTACCATGTGCTACCAGGTTAATTAACTTCTTTTAAAAAGTGTGACAACATGACATTTAGACAACACAGCAGGATTAATGCAAAAATAAATTCCAATCATACTTTATAAAGCTTCATTTACAGGTATTTCATCGTCAGTAAATGAATCCTCATTATCGTTTGGTTCAACCTGTTTATATAATCCTTTCATTTCTTCTTTCAAAACATAACACCATGTTTGTTTACCATCTATTCTTCTATGTTTCCTATCACATTTATCCTTAATGCTCATTTGAAAATTCTTGTCTTTCATGTCTGATGGTTTGCAGAATAGAGCATTTTTACACGTCATACCTGCACACAATTCATCATAATGTGTATTTATCCATACATCTAAAGGATTTGTTGATAATTCAATTAAATCTTGTTTGGCTTCAGTCATCGGTATGATTCGTACATTAAATGATGAAAGGTCATATTGCATAAAATATGTTAAAAGGTTATCATAAAATTCCTTTGTGCATGAATCCATTAAATTCTTGAAGTAATCAAATTGACCCTTAAATTTACCATTAACCCTTAAAACTACGTATCTTCTGTCTCCAACTTCAATTTTGACAGGGTAAACGTTATTAGTTACCAAAATGAAGTTTGCAACGTTCTGTGCTGTCCTTCTGGGTTGATTCTTTTCATTAATTCTAATCGCATTATCTGTAATAATTGATTTCAAAGCGTTGAAGTTTGCGAGTCTATCTTCACCTACATTCTTGAGTTCATTAAGTACAAGAAACATTTTATTCTCAACAACCGAATTGAAATTACCCGTTAGCTCACTTATTTCAGTAATGTTTTTACATGAATAACCAGCGAGGAGTTCAGAAATAATGTCTGTAAATCTGTTTTTACCTGTTCCCTGAAGTCCTTTCAAAATAATTGCTGTTTCATTCTTGATTCCAGGATGTTGAATCATTGATGCAATCCAGCCGAGAAGGTATTTATACACTTCATCGTTATTATCACAAATGGCTTCTTTAATGAAATTCATAAACATCTCAATTTTTGAGTAATCAGGCTTTTCGAGAACGTTGTATTTATAACCTTGAAACGTTGAGAAAACATCTGGAGAATCAGATTTAAAGCAAACACCCTTAACAGTTAATGAAGACAATTGATTTAGTAGTACGTCCCATGCTGTTATTGTTTTACCTTCTTCTTTAAATAATTTAATCATTTTAAGTGACTCTTTCATGTTTGATTGAAGAACGAATGATATTTGATTCATTTTGTCGTGGATATTATAGTCCTTTTGAATGAAATATTTATTTCCACAATCTACAAAACGGATTACACGTGATAAATCCTCAATTACTTCAGAACTGTTTTTATACTGATGATTTTCAGCCTTGCGTCTAATATCTGTTATCAAAAACGAGTCATCAAGTTTGATATCAAATGTTATTTTTGGCTTACGTAATAAAGGTAAAACATATTCATCATAATATTCCTTTTGATAAAGTTTTAGAATCTTCACCAAAACAAATGGAGAAGTCATTAAATGTGCATATCTACTACGTGCTTTTTCAAAATTACTTTTTGCATTTTCAGTTAAATTGCAGAAGTTATAAACGTTATCGTATGCTTCATTAATTAAATGATTAGGTAACGAATTAATTGCTTGAAACAGTGTGAATAATGTAACTTCTTTTTCTAAATTCATGTTTCCACCGTCATTATGTACTTCAAAATCACTGATGCCATCAACTATGCTCTGGGCAAGTTTATCGTCAATGTTTACATCTTTGTTTTCATTCACGATAGTCTTTATTTCTTCGTTCTTCTGTTCAACTCTTACCTTAATATTCAAATCATTTAATATATCATTCACTGTTCTGGTTATGGTCGAGTCATAACTTCCACGAATGAATGAGTATGTTTTGATTGGTTCTGTTGCATTCTTTCGAACTCTTGAATCAGCCATAACCACTAATGAACGCTTTGAATCATCCATAGAAGTCATTATGTCAATATCATAATCATTGCAGGAATAACATTTAATCATTCTGTTCGAAACTGCATAGAAGAAATTAGTGTTGCAATAAATGTGAAGACCTCCTGAAGCGGTTTTAACGATAACATCTTTATCCGAAAGTTTTGATAAAATGTCTTTTCTAACTGTTTCTTTAAGTTCATCATTGTACGATTTATTGATATCAACATCTATAATCGTTAAATTTGAAATTTTATTTACTAATAAAGCCATACCAGTTTTCCTTCCTCTTCCTCCATCGTGTTTGAGGTAGTTATGTAAATCAATCTTGTTTTCACCAATTCTTTCGTTGAGGGTTTTAGTTTCTGCCACAACTAATTCCTCAGCTAATGAATCAATAACTTTTTCATCAGAAATGATAAAGTTGCTGTCATTTATATAGGAATAAAAAAATAAAAATAATTTTAAAACTAACTTTATTTTTGGGCTGCATCATATTTCCAGGACTGTTGTCAAAATGTCATGTTGTCTCATTTTTTCAGAGAAGTTAAATAACCGAGTGACATGGTGACATAGTGACACCCTCAGTTCTTCAAAAATAATTAATTATTGAATAACCCGAAAACATTAACGTAAACATTAACGTAAACATTAACGTAAACATTAACGTAAACATTAACGTAAACATTAACGATAAAATATATTTTTGGTCGTTTATGACAAAAATAAATGGTTCATTTACTCACAATATTTTTGTACAAAACGACCCCCAAGCTTTTAACTTCTTTTCTGCAGCTTCTAATGCTATCTTAGCGAGTTCATATTCTCTAAATTCTCTCTTTAAATTTTCTTGTTCCCATTGGTCTAGTTCGAATGGAGAATCTCTATAACCATAACATAACTCACGTTCATGTTCTAATTGTTTTTCGCGCATTTTTCTAACTTCTTGTTCGAACAAAGGTTTAGCATTCTCTACTGTATCTTCAAGTTCTTCTTCATCTAATTTCTCATGAACTTTCTTGTCTATGGAGTCCATAATTTTTCCAACTGCTATGCAATATTTTGGAGAAGCCCACATTGCTATATAGTTTATAAGTCTTGGGTCTACATACGTTCCTCTAACTTGTTTGATTTCATCAGGAATTCCTGCATGAATTTTGTATAAAAAGCAACCGTCTGAATTCCGGCGGTTGCTATATTCTTCACAAAATGCCTTATAATACTCTTCCCAGGACTTATTTTCCAACAACTTTCTAAAGTCTTTCCTAAACTGCTGACACATATTTGTTGCATTAATGTAACCATCCTTGTCTCTACGTAAGACTTCAATACCGTTATAAGTGCCTTTTGTGAATGTTTCGCCATTAGATTTGTTCGTGAATGTTTTTGCTTCGACTGACATTTCTGTTCTTACATACAAAATAAAAAAATAAAAATAATTTTAAAACTAACGTTATTTTTGGGCTGCATCAAATTTCCTGTGTTGTTGTCAAAATGTCATGTTGTCTCATTTTTTCAGAGAAGTTAATTAACCTGGTAGCACATGGTAACATGGTAGCACCTTCAGTTCTTCAAAAATAATTAATTATTGAATAACCTGAAAACATGAGACTTTGTCTCCGGACTCTTTGAGTCACTTAACGAAAAAATATATTTCTGCAGTTCATCCATTACTTCATTACCTAATTAATTACAGACATAAAATATATTTAGTTCATTCGGTAAGCCTTGACCCAAAGGTCTGGGCTCAAGCACATTCAATGAACACGGTACCATGCGAATACAGTCACAAATGGTGGCATGTAATCTTTACCCGAGCCTGTTGGATTTGTTGTGAAAGTGTGTGAATGATTTCCTGCGGTTCCACAGAAAATACCTGTGCTTGAATCTACTGGGTCAGTTGAAATATCAGATCTATTCATTCCCTGTCTATTCGAACCCGCTGCAAGATTTGTATAACCTCTTTTTGTTATTGAATGTGAATGATTACCTGTTGTGTTTGTAGTTCCTGTATGAGTGTGCGGTGGAAGGTTTGCTTCTTTAATTTTCTTCGAACCTCCTGTTTGCTTTGAATATCTAGCACAGTATAAGAATTTATCTACAATCTGCTTCCACATACCAAAACCTAAAAACTTGCGGATTTGTTGAGTTCATTGACGTATAAATAGAACCAACAGGATATAATGTTTGAAGTATTTCATTTTTCATGCTTGTAATCACATCATTTACTTCCGACTTCTTTGCATAATTTTCATCAACATAAGTTTTATCTGCTTTAAGGTCTAAACATCCTGAAACCCATTCTGTATCAGCTTTAACTTTAAAAGTCTCAAATGTCCATTCATGATACCATTCAACCTTTTCTTTAATTTCATTATCTTTTTCATCAACATAAACCAAATTTGCCTTCTTATTTAACTCACTATCCACATATTCCTTATCTGCCTTCTTCATTATGTCGTTTAGGAAACCTTCTATGAATTCCTCATTTAAATTAAATCTTCCAATCTTCAAAACTTTAGGAAATGCATTTAATGCGTAATATCTCTGTTCTTCTGGTGGAATTGATGTTATATCATCCGTTATTCCTTTAATTTTTGAATTCATAAATAAAATTTCTTTTATATTTGATATCACTGCACCACCTTTGCAAACGAATTCGAAATGGTCATTTTTCAATACTATCTCCAAATCTCCATATTTCAACCTTTGCGTTTGTTCTGCCGTCTTTGAACTATATGCATATATGGCGTATGTAATGGTCTGAAGGACCTGGGCTCTTTGTGCCTTAAGTTGCTGTTGTTTAATCATTTATTATGATTTAAAAATAAATATTTAATCTGTTATCTCATCAGCTATTTTTTCTATTTGAAATTGCCATAATATTTCATTCATGAATTCTAAATCACAATCAAATAGGTCAGTTATTCTAAATTTAATATTTGATAAATCTTTTGAATGAAGAATAAATGAATTCCCGGATAATTGAAACGGATATGATAAAGAAAATGTGTTTAAGTTGATGGAGAAAATGTTTTGTATTGATGGGTAAGAGTTAGGGTCTAATGTTTGATGTGAAAATCTCATTGGGGTATTAACTTTATCACATTTGATTAAAATGAAATTGGAACCAGTGTCAGAATACAAAACATCCCCAACATCTTTTTCAAAATTTAATATCCCCAACAATGAACGAAGATGAGGAGTACAAAATTTAATTTTCAGCGGAAATTTAATAAGGTTATTTATTTCATCAAGTTCAAAAAGTTTATCAGGTTTTGATTTAAAATTTTCTTCATACCATACGATAAATGATTCATTTAAATAACTTAAAATCATGTTAATATCCCATTTCGCTATCACATTATTTATATACATATCATACGTTTTTTCAAGGTCATCTTTAATAAATGATATATAATCTGAAGGGTCTAAAAGAATGGGATTAAATTTACCACTCACAGAAACGAGAGTAACATTATAAATTCCGCTAACTGTTAAATTTAATTCAACTATTATTCGAAATAATATTGATAATTGACATTTTTATTACGATTAAAAATATGGTAAAGCGTTATTTTCCAGTGATAAATAAAACTAGAATAAGATTACCTCAAGAATTCATAAATTCAACGAATAAGAAATTCATTCATGTTATAAATTTTAGTGTTTTCAGAAAATATGAGTCAATGTCATATTCATCAACAGGTTATATTTCACTTCATTCAAATTTAGTTCAATCAAACCCATATAATGACCATTTCATAAGATTTTCAGATGGTATTAAAAATGTAATTGATAGATTAAAATATGAACAGATTGACAATATCGAATTTTTGGAATTTTGGTTTAAATATCCCGATGGAAAAAAGATTGAAGTTAAAGATAAAGCTGATACTATAACAAAAACAATTACAATGACCGATCCAGATAGTGGGGAACAAAAAGAAATAAAACAAACGATAGAAACTGGTGAAAGGTCAATTATTATTGATTATGATTCAAAGGATTATTATTCGATAATGTTAATGCTTGAATATTAAATAGCCTTAACAAAGAATTTTTCAAGTGATATTTTATATTCATCAACTATTTTATTATAAATATCATTATATGTTAAATGAAGTTCAGTTGTTGTTCCGTTCTTTGATATCTTAATTGTGCTAATATCCTTTATAGGATTTATTTTTGCAACTGTTCCGCAGCATGAAACCTCATCATCTATGAAAAATTGAATCTTAACGTCTGAATCTTGAACATCACAAAGAATGGCGATAATGTGAATTAATGATTCATAAGGTAAAATAATTAAACCGGATTGGTCAATTAAATTTATTATTGAATCATAATTATTAATTATTATATCACGGTAAATTTTCATTAATTCAGAATTAATGTCTATTTTATATGGGTTCTCGATGTTTGATGAAAGAGGTGGGGGTATGTTGGATAAGTGGGAATTTCAACAGGTTCTTTACCGGGTTCAGATAAAATGATTGGGTCTCCATCTTCTTTATTTTGCTCCTCCTCCTTTTTCGGTAAGTCACGAGTTAATAAATTTGGTTGAGTTGCTGACCTTGTTAATTCAGGGCTAACATTAACTTTAACATTTTGAATAATTCGTGATTTATCATCATTTACGTTATAACCAACCGTAATCTCTGCTTTTGCGTTAGTGTTCTTTTGACTAGTGAAACGTCTTCTCATTTATATTCGAATAAAAAAAATATATTTAAACTTTTATTTTGCTGGAACTTTTGAATCTATTATTCCCTGTATTTGTTCATGAAGTTGATTTTTAGCTGTTTCATCGAAATTAATAGACCGAATATATTCATTAATTGCATTCTTATAATCATCTGATTTCTCAAATTTTCTTTTATCTGATTCCTTAACTAAATCATAAGTTAAACCACGTTGCTGATATAATGGTTTCTTAATTAAATCTTTGAATGCTTGAGATAAAGCACCTGATGCAATTCTTGCTACTATAATTGGTTGGAATTGCTGTTTAAGTTCATCTTTAACATTTGCGAAAACTGGATCGAATAAAGCAACTTTAAAGAATTTCTTAGCTGAAATTTCAGGTCTAATATTTGCATATTGACCATCAAACTGGTTAGAATATCGTGGTAATCCATCCGGTCCCTCTTCAATAGCATTTAATTCTTCATTGAAATAAGAATATGGATTATGACGGTATGAATTAATTGGACCATTTTCACCTTCTCCAATGTATTGTTTAACAGCTTTTCCATTTTCATCAAATTGCATAGGATAACGTTCATTATATGCTTTACGTTTAGGATAATCAGATATAGTTAATTTATAACCATTTATGACTTTAATATTACCTTGACCATCAGTAACGAAAACTTCATTTATACCATCAGGTTTTCCATTTGGACCCGTAATGTCTGCTTCGTGTGCTTCCCAATTTGGACCATGACGTTTGGCATATGCTTGAGCTTCTGGTAATGTTAAAACGTTTCTCATTTGTTTAACATCTTTTTGAAGACCAGCAACAATATGAACTAATTCTTTCATTCCATCAGGAACTTTCATAGTTCTATTATATGCACCCTTTTTGTTTGTCCCTTGTTTTAATGGAACCTGTAGAAGATTTACCATTTCTGTCATGTTTAATTATAAATAAAAAATAAAAATTAATTATAAAAAGTTAATCAAATTTAACACTTCCTTTATTTAAATCAACTATTATTTTTCCATGTTCACCTAATTGCTGATATTGTGTGTAAAGTTCATTAATGCTCATTGGTAAATTCACTTGATAAAGCATAACGTTCAACTGTTGACGACTAAACCCACTGAAAATGAAAAGTGTTGATAGATTTGATTTAATGTTTGTGCTTAATGCTTTGAAGTATTGAACAGCCATAAAGAATGAACACTGAATGTGTCGACATTGAGTTAATAACTGATTAAAATATGATTTCTCATTTGTTATTAGTTTTGATTTCACTGCATCATCTAGAAAAATGAGTGAATGCAAAAATTCTCTATCAAAATTTGAAATAGAAAGTGTTTCAAATAATTCATCCCGTTGTTTATCAATAATTTTATCCTCTAATCCTTGCTTCTTGATTGTATTATATAATTCTTTATACATTAAAAAGTTTTTTAAATAATCTTCTGCTTCTTCTTGTGATAAATAAATAATTGGAATTTTGATTAAATGCTTTAAAGATTCAAATGTATCATCTGAAGGTGAACCTGAACGGTTGATATAAATTAACACATGTGAATGGGGGAAGTGTTAGCAATAATGATAATTTGTTTTAATATCGTTAATGTTTTACCTTTATTTTGTTTACCAATTGCTGCAGTGATTGAATTTAAGTAACATTCAGAATATGGAATTTTCATTAATTTTTCCTTAGATAGAGCATTTCTATTATCACTCAATGCTTCATTAATCATATCATCTACGTATGTATTATATACTCCCGCTAATTCTTCATAAGGGGTGGATGAATTTAAATCCATTTAATCAAAAATAAATTTATAATTTTAAACATTTCTATTCATCAATATTTCATCATATGAACTTCTATACTGTGGTGGTGTACCTGTTGGATGATATTTCAAACCTTCGTCCGGTGTCCATGTCCAATATGTAGTCCTAGTAAACCAAACCTGAGGAGGATTTGTCACCTTTGAACAGTAAGTGTCATTTACACCCTGAATGATTGGATAAGCTTTCACTTGTACTGTAACTTGTGAGTTGAAAGTTTCTAATCCATCAAAGAATATACCCGCTCCATCACGTTGAACTGGAATAGTGCATAAGAATGAAGTTTGGTCTTTCCATGTTCTAGCTAATGGCGTGCCATCATCTGCATTCAGTGGTCTAGTTAATGAGTCCTCGTATTCTTCTGTGCATTCATTCACTCCATCTAAATCAGAAGCTTGAAGCATACGTGTAAAGAATATGTCACCCACTGTGGTCATCGCTTGATCGGGGAAGTTTCTGGAATCTATAGTGACCTGAAGACCTCGAAGCATTGGATTTTCTAAAACCGTTCTTTGCATTGCATTCTTCGGAAATGTTAACACAACATCTGTAACATTATGAAGAGCGTATGAGAAATCTGAGCTAATACCTTCAGGAGTGATGCAACCTCCATTTAGTGAACGAACGTCAATATGTTGAGCTGGAATCATGAATGGATCTTCCTTACTGAATAAACGTGGTATTGCTTTAACTGATTCTTCAATTAAACCGTATCCTGGTGTAATGCATTTATCCTCTAAAACTTCCATCTTTGTGCATGAAATAATAACGTCATCAACTTTGCGTCAGCAGATGTAGCGGCTAAGCTTGTAATTAATTTGGCAGGAAGTCCGATTTGTTGGAATTTGCGATCATATTTATAAACATGATTCATAATCTTTTCATAATTTTCATCAGTTATCTTTTCATAAACGTAATTTTGTAAATCAGCAACTCTTAACGGGTCAACCTGACAAAATACTAAAGTATCCCTGAAAACATAATATTTAAGAATGATATCACCAAATGATTTAGGATAATCATCGAACGCCTGAAATGCTAACAAATCATTTACCGGAATAATCATATCAAAAGTGATATCAACTTCTTCATTTGCTTTCTTGAAAACTTCTGAAGGGTCAATATATTTACCACATACTGAGTTATCATATTTTTGAACATTATTATATAACGAATGAACAAACTTTTTAACTTTCCTTTCTGATTTTGGTTTATATGTTGCAAATGCGAAAGATTCACGGGCGCAATCCATCTGAAGATAACCGGCATCACCTCTTTCGGTTTCTACTTCTAATTGTTTAAAGCTTTGATTTGATGATTTGTAACCAACGAATAAACGCATGCATTTAAAAGCGGCATCACATGTGAAAGCTTTATTTGAAACTAGAGTTGCTTTAACTTTGCGTTTAATATATGTGTCACCTAATTGGTTCACATCATGAGCCGGATTTGTAATTCTTAAATGAGTTTGTTTATCATCAAAATATGGAGCATCAGAGTCATAGCATGAACTTTCAAGTTCTCTATAATATCTTCTACCGTCATTCTTTGCGAATATTTCATTTATCTTTTCGAATGAATGAAACACATTTCCATTAATCGGTTTAGTGTTTGGCACCAAATAGTTAGTCGTCATTTATTTAAATAAAAAATCAAAATTAAAAGATGAAAATGAATTTTTAATTTTAATGAAATAATCAACTATGGCTGCAGGTATATTTAAGAAACTGTGGGATAAAGTAAAAAGAGGAGCGCATAAAGTTTGGGAAACAATGAAGAAAGGAGCAAATTGGATATTTAAGAATAAAGAAGCAATTAGTGACGTTGCTGAATCAATAACACCAAAGCTGCCCCAATAAGAGAAGTTTTAAATAAAGGAGAAAAAGTTTATCAAAGACTTCAACCGATACTAAGATAAAAATAATATTTATTTATTTTTCCACTATCTACCTCCTATTTTATTAAGTATTCCTTCAGCTATTCCACCAATTGCGTTACCTGCTTGTGCTCCCATCGCCGGATTACCTGCTTTAGTACCTAATACTCCACCTATGATAGTTCCTGCCGTTTTCGCTACTGGTGCCAAAAAGTTTGCAACGGGTTTAATAATCTTTTTATGAACCCAACCCGCAGCTTTCTTAATTCCATCCCATAATTTTTTAAAGAATCTTGCCGCCATTTCTGATTTAATATTAATTAAAAAATATATTTCATCACTTATATTCTAATTTTTATTTAATGATAAATGAAACCGATTTTAAAAATAAATGAAACAGAGGAGGAAGAAATAAATGAAAGTGAAAATGTTCAACAAAAAATAAACGTTGTTAAACCAATTACTGAAATAAAAATTTTTTCATCTGTTGAAGAATTTAATGACTATTATGCTAATAATAAAAAATTATTTGAAGAATTGACAACATGTAAATTGAATAAAATGTTTAAAGTTGATGGATTCAAAATTTCAAAAATAAAAGGAGTGGTTAGTTTGAAATCTATTCCTCAATCAAGAATCACATCATTAATGAAAATAGATGATTTAACAAAAAGAATAGAAGAGATTGAAGAAAGAATGAATCAAATAATTGATTTCATAAATTCAAATAATCATTAGTTTCTTAAAGTTCAATGTTGAACTCATCAAATTTCTTTTTCATCATTACCATTACTCTTTCAACTCTATCTTTTGATAGTCTTGCGTTTAATTTTTAAAGTTTATTTTTTAAAAATTTTTTTATTTTTTTATTTTTTTATTTCATTATGGTAGTGAATCTTTCATTCATGAAAATAATTATTTCTAATTTCTTTTACTCGTTTATGAGGTCTTTGATTATGACTCCATTGATTCCATGAAATTAAATATTCTTTATCATTATATTTATACCTCATTAGCTTATTTTGGCTTTCATATTCATTTAATAATTCACAATCTTCATTTTTAAATTGAAGTTTAATCCATTCAGGATTTAAACAATGTTTAATTAATCGCGGAATATCTGACATCATCTATATATAGCTTCTTTTATAAAAGATAAAAAATAAATTATTTTAAAATTAATGGGGCGCGTAAAGGGTTGGCGTCCTAAGGCGTCCTGATGTAAACTATTCAATTTTTGAGAAGTTTACACCATAATTGAATAGTTTATGGCGTCCTGAGAGGAGATTTCAATGGGTATGGCGTCCTAAAAAAAATAGAAGAAAATGATTTTTTCTCGATTTTTCTAGAAATTGAATTTTTTAAAAAAGAAAAAAATCAAAACGTATACATTCAAGAAAGACTATAAATGAAGATTTTTCTATTTTTTTCATTCTAAAACATCTTTTTTTGGATAATTTTTTTTTAATAAATATGTAAGAAAGATTGAAGAAAAAGTAAATTTACTTTAAGAAAATTCGTTTTACATGATGTAAGACCCATAACAACTATAAATATTCAATTATTTAAAATAAAAAAAGAAAAACAGATTAAATGTATCTCACATCAAAATCCATTGACCTAAGGATGTTAAGTTTCTGTTTTTAAAAGTTGATATTTTTTTTAATTTTAAGAAAATTAATAGCATGTTATTAGACAATAGGAGTGTAATGATATTGACTAAACAGAAATGAGAGAATAGAGATATAATTTTGATAAGCAATATTGCGAACAAATTCTGAAGTAAAATCGCGATCAATAATTGAAAATTACGATCATGTACTGAAAAATGACGATCGAATTGAATGAATAGAATTATATCTAAGAAAAAATAAATTGTATTTAGAAGATGAACAAAGAAAGGTGTATGCTAAAAATCATTTAACAATAAATGGAAATAAAACGAAATTGTTAAAAGAAAAAAATGAAAATTGTTAAATAATATATTATTTTTTAGTCATAAGAATAAAAATATAGTAGTTATAAAAGGAATTAGACTTCATATATCAATTCTTTTTCTCTGTAGATGTGGAACGTTTGCTTTTCGATCTCTTTCGATGAACTTGAAAATATAAGTTATTATCGCTGAGAATCCTTTCCGAAATAGGAGCTTTACGTTTAGGAGGATTGTCGGATGAATTTTGTTTTTTATTGTTTGATTTTGTTGTTATGGAAGATTTTTTCTTATTT